GAAAGTGTATTTAAGGATAAGTATACTATGTCATTTTTTACTAACTCCTTCTTTTCAGATAGGCCAGAGATCTGGACAAGGCAGTTTTGTTTGCATCTATCTCTTGGCCTATAAATTAATAGGATTGGAATTTTAGGATATTTTATTTGATGAAGTTCTAAACATTTTTGGGAAGCAATTCACTGAGAAAGTATATGTGCTGATAATATACAATCTGAGGGAGTCTATTTCTTTTCAAGACGTTCCCATTTTTCTATAGTTGGGAGAATTCCTCGAAATAATTTTGATTGTATTCGATTATTTTGTCGAAGTATAGCTTTTTTGAATTCACATAATTTAGGATATTTTGCATGATAATCAGTTAAAACTTCTTCGTAATAATCAACATGCTCTTTTAACTAATTATGTGGCATTTCTTCAAAGAATGGTGGAGGTTGTGTATCGTCACCACAACAAATTACCTAACATTTATGTTCTAACAAATAATTAATGAACATTTCAAGAATATGCTTAGGAACTGTACATACCTCATTCCAAATAACAACTCGTGGAAATTTCTTCTCTCCCATGCGTTCAGGCGTTTACTCTCCTACTCTATTCTATCTAAAGAAGCTATGCCAGGTTTGAGCTTTTACATTACATTTTTCTTGAAACCCTTTAGCTAATGCATTCGTATAAATGAAAATAATCATGTTTATGTCTTTAAAAATTCTAATTGCTTGTGTTGTTTTACCAGATCCCCCTTTCCCATTAAGATATAATTTTCAACATCTTGTAATAGGATCATGAATTGATGGAGCCATACTATCTGAAATATCTTTGATCGATTCCCAATACCTATTCTTTGGCCAGTATACAATATCAGCAACTGGTCCATATATTTTTTCATCCTTATCACGCCATTGACCAGGTTGAATTTTTTGAACCTCTTGTTCTTTTTGCTGATTTAACTGCTTCTGACAAGAATCCAATTTATAAAACCATTCCCCAAAGCAAAATCTGCAAACAAACAGAGTATGCCTTTTACATTCATATTTTACTAGAGGCCTTTTTGTTTTTAGAAACTCTTTAATCCATTTTGCATATTCTGATTTTGAAATAAGAAATTCTTCTAGGTCACTACACATTGCACAAGAAGGATAGTGTGAACATAAATTTGGATCTGACTTTACCTCAACTTGGTTGAAGAATGCTGGTATATTTTTGATCTTATATAATGCCTCTTTTCGTATATATATAGAATC